AGTGTGCAGATGATATCTGACTAGGACTCAAAACATCTGCTTGACGTGTTAGATCTAATTTTTGGGGTGTGGGGATGGGGGGAAGAGGATTGTGATACAACACATTAAATTTGACTATTTGGCTTCTCCCAATGGCAGGGGATTGTTTGGCAAACTTTAGAAGGGAGTTTTTTTTACATTTAATGTAATTTTCCCTTCAGTACTGGTCTACATAAATTAACTAGCATGTCTATTATTTTAGCTGTATGTAATATATGCCATTGTGCCTCAAAAAAAATCCTGGTGACTCTGTCCCTTTGTTGATAATACTCTTTGCTTGCTTGTGAGTCTTTATCTTTATTGATGTGGCTTAATGGTGTTGCTTATTTTTTGTAACCTTATGTCCTTTTTATTGGTTCAGAACTATTAACTTCCATTCTAAAAGCTGCCCTAGATGTAGCAAACCGATCAAAGATGGAAGCATGGAGTTGTTTGGTTATCGCTGAATCTAGAATGCTATCTGGAAAAGTCCATTTCACTTGACCTTGTGTAACAAATCAATTTTTAAAAATTACTATGTCAAAAACAATCATCGTCCTTTTGCAGTTTGCAATTTTTCATTTCCATGTAAACCTGAGCTCAACAAGATCTGGCACTATGACAAAACTGTCTGGAATGTCTGGCACTACAAGGCAGACATAATTCCCCAGTTCTGAATTGCAGCAAGTTGCTAATCAATGATTTGCAATGTTTATTGATGTGAACAACCACTGCTACAATGTCACAAACACTGTACAACAACAACAACAAGATTACATTTGTATAGCGCATTTCACGTCGGGAGGACATCCCAAGGTGCTGTACATATGTACTGTAGGGATGCATTTGCATCAGTAGTTTAAAAGTCTAAAATAGTGACAATTACCTATTCAGTTAATCTTGTGCAAAAAGAAGAGTTTCAGTAAGTGGTTGCAAATCTAAATCCGGAAGGACAACAATGACAACAACTTGATTTATATAGCGTCCTTCACGCACATTAGTGTCTTGGAACACTGCACAGTGCCAGCATTGGACCATCTTTCCCCCCCCCACCCCCCAACCCCCGATTCAGAGTCAGGCTCCACCATTGTTAAGCACTCTGAAATGCTATCCTGCGTGGAGAGCGCTTTATAGGTTCAAGACGTTGTTATTGTATTGGGTGCCGAGCAAAAGAGGAGGGAGAGGTAACTATAAGCACAGTCAAAGAGATAGATCTTAGATAAAGAGGGGGTGAGGCGGAGGGATTGATTCAGGAAGTTCCATCGGTTGGGCATAGTGGTTGAAGGCATGGCCACCGATGGTGGGGCAGAGGGGTTGTGGACATACAGCGGGGAAAGGAGCAGGCAGAGAAGTGCAGTCTGAGCAACTCAAGTAGTGAGATGCTAGGGCTTAAAGTGCTACATTCTGATATACACACCGTAAATTGTCACTTCAATCAGCCAAAACAAAGGAATAAAGGCAGCTGTTAACATTTGTTTTGACAAGAATTCCTCTCCGAGGCAGGTTAACATGTTCACAAGTCATTTGAGATAGAAAGAGGTTCTGAACAGTAGTTTCCCTGTTCATTTTATGCTCAAAATGCACAAATCTTTCCTCACCTTGGATTTTAATTTGTATTTCTTGCAAAACAAGTTTTGTATTGACTTGTATTTGTGTACCTATTGTATGCAAATTGGCTGCAACATTTGCTTATAAATACAGTCACTACATTTTACAGTAAAATTGAGTGAAGTGCTTTGAAATGTCTTAATGACATGATAAAGCGCTATGTGAAATGCAAGGTTATTATTTTATGCTTTCAAATTACCAACTACAGAGACCTTAACACCTTTGAAGTCATGATCAATCATCAGTATATCCAGTACTAGGATCTTAATCAGTGCCTAATGAAATCTCAGTATGGTTTTAGTCAAGATGTTCAACTGTTGGGCATGCTGCTTTACCTGGCAGTTCTGGCAATATGATTGAATTCTGATGAAGTTCAGCTAGTGGCATACATGGCATCCAGTAGATCTCTCATCATGCAGCACAGTTTTGTCATAAAGCTTATCATTTTACTAGTCAGAGATTATTTGCTTTCTTAATTTAGTGAGATTAAAGTTACTGTTTATACCATAATGGTCATGTCACTTTCCGAGACTATCCACACTGGTTTATAATGACCCTACGTCTTCTTGCTCACTGTTATTAATAACCTACAAGTTACTGACATCAAGGATCTCGTATTTCTTTTTGAAAAGATAGGCCTAAGTAACCACCAAATCAAAGTAATAACCTACAATGTGTTGAATGGACATGTGGTCTCTGCCACTGCCTCACCCCTCAGGCTGCTGAAACCCTCACCCATGCATTCGTCACCTCAAGGCTTGATTACGGGAACTCCCTCCTCATCGGCCTTCCCAACTCTTCCCTTCACAAGCTGCAGATCATCCAAAAGTCTGCAGCTCGTGTACTCTCACACACGATGCTTCGTGACCCCATCACTCCCACCCTCGCCCGACTCCAATGGCTCCCCATTCCCCAGAGGATCGAGTTCACGATCCTCGTCCTCACCTTTAAGGCCATCTATAGCCTTGCCCTCTCCTACCTCTTTGACCTGCTGACTCCCTACGAGCCTACCCACTCCCTCCGTTCATCGGGCTCCGGCCTGCTCCATGTCTCCCGCCCGACCCGCCCTACCATCGGTGGCCGGGCTTTCAGCCTCTCTGCCCCCACACTCTGGAACTCCATCCCACAGTCCCTTGGCCTCGCTTCCTCCCTTACCTCCTTCAAGGCCGATCTCAAGACCTTTCTCTTCGACCGTGCCTTTGGTCTCCCTCCCACCTCTCTGCCTTCCCTCACCCCTACACCAACCCTCCCCCATGCTCGGGCCCCAGACACCTGACTGTTCAGCGCTTTGGAATGTCCTCCCGACTGAAAGGCGCTCTATAAATGTAATTTTGTTGTTGTTGTTGTTTGTTTGGCAGCTACCTGCTGTATCCATTTCTCTTCCTCCTTTTCATGAATTTTTGATTGGAACCAAACTTAAAGCAAACATTTTGTCAGTTCCCAAAATATTTCAAATTGAGACTGAATTTTCACGTTATGAGTGATGATACATTTCAAGCCAAACGGCTTTACAGGCAAAGACAAAGTGGAATTTCAGACCTCATATTTGCATCCCATAAATTTTTATTAACAAACTTTCTTGATATAAAAGCCTATAGATTTATGTAACAGGCGACTACTTTCAAAGTTAGAAAGAGTTTAGGACATGAATGGTAACCTTTGATGTAGTCAGAAAACAGCTTTGTAATTGAGTTTGTAATTTTACTCAAACAGTGAAGGGTTAACAAAAGTGGGCCACTGGTGGCTTAATAATAATCCTTGCATTTGATATAGTGCTTTTCACATCTTCTAGACATCTCAAAGTGCATCAGAGAATATACTGTAAAGTGTACACTTGTGGGCAAAAAGCGCCAGCCAGTTGCGCACAGCAGTGTTGCACAAAAAGTCGTGGATTGAAGTGACCAATTTATTGTTTTTTTTTGTTCTTTTCTTGAGGGATTATCAGGCGTGTGGAGTAAGGAAACTTGCCCAAGGTTTTACCCTGAGCTACAGGATTAATTCTTGAAAACCCATTACAACAGCTGTCATTTGGTTCTAAGAAGCAATTACAGATACTTGTTATTGCTATGAATTCTGACTAGGCTAGAAGAAGGGTCATACAAATGGGGTGTGGTGATGTATCTATTTTTCATGCTGTAAAAATGTAATCAACATTTCAAATTAAAATTATAATTCAAGGTTCGATCTACTAATATTTGTGCTCACGAACCAAGGATTTGTCAAACTTTCATGTCCAATCCATATACTTTATAGAATTTTCATGAACTACTGAAGCTATTGTTTGAACCTATAGTATCTCTTTCCTTGAGATTCTGGATTCACGTTCTGTGTTGGTATTTGAGCTCACAGTCCAGGTTGGAAGTACTGTCTTGCATTAACTGTGGGAAATTAAACTGAGACCATCTATCAGTTTGGAGGTAGGTATTAAAGATTCCATGGAAAAGTGTTTCTCTTGGTAAACTGCCATGGTTGCCTATGAAAATAGATATTACAATAAATAGTAATTACTTGCTAAGCATAATACAAGGAACTGTAAATATGCAAATTATTTCTATCTTCTTAGTGGTGTGCTATGATCTTCAGTTCAAAAGAGAAGTAGCTGATCATAGTCAAATTTATTTGTGTAGTTTTCCAAAACTCTTTGATCATCTATTGATTGTTGGCTCAGTCTCCATTTTCTCAAACTCACTGCCATTTGTATAACCCCCTAACTCATTCTCAAGAAATCCTCTCTTGACCCTTACAGGCTACCAACCTATCTCTAAACTACCCTTTCTATCCTAGGTGCTCTAATAAATTGTTCCCTCCCACCTTAGTTTTTTCCTTTCATGGTGTCCTGCATGACTCCCTCCAATTAGATTATCTCCCTGTCCATATCACTGAGACTGCCCTGCAGATGACACCTAACTATCTCTGCCTCTACCCCTTGACTCCAGGACCACTATTGTTCTGACCACTGCCTGCTGGACATCAAGTCATGTTTGAACTCTAACTTCTTTCAGTTAGACTGAGGCTCTCCTGCTTGGCTTCAGCCAGTCGTCTTGCCTCAGGCTCTGACAATCTGTAGACAGTAACATTACATAAACAGCAAAGCAAGGGGCAAATCACCATTTTTTTAAAAATCTAGGGCTAGAACTCTCAGAAAAACCTTTTTTTTGAAATAGCATTGGATTTTTTGCACCAAATGATCGGGCAGCAGGTAAGAACTCAGTTCAATGTTTCATCCAAAGGATTACACATTGCAATCCAATAAGTAACACCCTTACAAATTGGACTTGTGGCTGGATTATAATTAATCTTAATTATCAATCAGTCCCATGACTTTCTGTTATGATGATTATGGAAAATACGAATAATCTATCTTCTCATTCCAGATGTGTTCTCGATCGGTAGCTCCAGAGAAACTGATGCACAGAGTCAAACATTGGAAAGAAACCTATGATAGGAGTAATCGCATTCAACTTTTTGAGTTCATGGACTTACTCACAATGTGAGTGTTAATAAATTTAAACTCCACTGAGCAAGTTCACTGTTTCTATAATCTTTGTTTCTGTTAAATTTCTGTTACCAATTTTTACGTTGTCTCCCTTTATAGATATTGGGTAACACATTTGTGGGGATAATGAGGTACATGAAAACAGCACAGGATAAAATGTTTAATAATGTTCCAGCCCCTCTCTCTGCGGAAGCATTTTGCTTATATTTGTAACCATTTATGGTAATGAGATGCCATTATCTCTTTTGGCTCAAACTGGGAACTGAGTGAAGCCAGGAATTAAATCTACCATACTTTCAGTCTGTAGCATTAACTGTTAATACTTTAGCATTTAGCAGTACTGTTCAGTTTGACAATGCAGAACTGACTAACCAGGGTGAAGAGATGGGAGAGTGCTGCATTATCAGAGATGTCATCCTTCGGATGAAACATTACACAGCGGTCCTAACTGTTTAATTAGTGAACGTTAAAGATCCTGTAACACTATTTGAAAATAGAAGGGTGTTTTTCCTTTTCGCATCATGGCTGTTTATTGAATCTTCTTTGCAAATTGGTTTTCCACATTTCCCTACAAATATACTGTACTTCACAGCAATTTCTTGTGAATCACTTTGAGACATTTTAATATTCTATGCACTATATCAAATACAAGGATCATTTATTTATGTTTTGCACTCTAATCCTAAGGTTGAGGAGGAGCCTTTTGGCATGGTTTATATTTTGATGTATGAAAATACATACCTGAAAATTGTTGGGTTTCCTGCCACAAAAAGACAAGAATTGAAGTATTAATAAAGACATTATGTGGCTGGATCTTTGGGAATAGTGAGTTTTCTGCCACCAGGCACAATACCATAACTATACACAATATCCATCTGGTACTGAAGATTGTTGGGGGTTAGGTAGCTTTGAAAAATGCTCAGGTCAATCAATAATATCTAACTCATTAATAATAATGAGTCCTGTAGCTCAGTGGTTAGAGCACTTGCTTTGCAAGTGAGAGACCTGAGTTCAATTCCAGGCAGGGCGAAACCTTGGGCAAGTTTCCTTACTCCACACGCCTAATAATAATCCCTCCAAAACCAAAAACAATAATAAATTGGTCATTTTTAATCCATGACTCTTTGTTGGACATTGCTGTGCGCAATTGGCTGCCGCGTTTGCCCACAAATATACAGTCAATTCACTTTAAAGTATATTCTGTGAAGCGCTTTGGGACGTCTAGAAGACCTGAAAAGCACTATTATCAAATGCAAGGATTCTTCTTATTATAATAATAATCCTTGAATTTGATATAGCGCTTTATCACGTCGCTGAAACGTCTCAAAGTGCTTCATAGAATATATTGTAAAGTGAATTGACTGTATATTTTGTGGGTGAATAATAAATTTAGGTGCTCCAGATCGTCACTGTAATGTTTGTCAGTGTGGCCTAATGCAGACACAGGCTACTCTTGGATATGATATTAAAACAAGAATTATTTGTTATGGGGAAACTATTGCATTATAAGGAGGCCTTGTTTCTATATTCTATTTAGTGGGAGTAGGACTTTTAGTGAAAGATACATGCTGGTCTTCAGTTCCCTTTTAACAATTTTAGTACACCTTAAGATTTTGGATCATTGGCTAATTGCTACAGTTCAGGGCAAAAGGCTGAATACAGCAAGACACAGGTAAGAATTTCCTTGGCCAAGTCAATACCTGGGCAATCATTCAGACTATAAATATCATCACAAATGTAAATTAACCTGTAGATTTCTGAGTGTCAGAATATATGAACAAATGTTAATTCAGTACAAGGTCTCATATTTGCGAAATCTTATGAGAGTTTCTTGACATAAATTATAAATAACACATCTGGACTTTTTGTAGTCGTGATTTGCAGACTTGTGCATCACACGTCGAACAAACATCTTGTGCATTAATTTTGTGCATTAAAATAGCTCACATTTTAAAATGGTTGAAGAAATTTGAAAATGGAGCCATTTGAAAAATATTGCTCAGTGTTAGAAAGATGAGTAGTTGACTAAAATAAACTACTGTATTGATGAAAGATGGAAATTTGTTAGGTACCATGTTGATCATAACACTGTGACTTACACTGACTCATATTAAAACAATGTAAATGTAATATCATCAGTTTATAGATATTCTCCATTATAACATAACTAAGAGTTGTAATAGTCAATATTTAAGTTAACTAAATGTTGAAAATTATAAAATGTGACATGGGGTTATCTGGAGAGATATTTTGAAAAATAAACAAAACGTAAAATACGACAGATGCTGGAAATCTGAAAACAAAAACAGAAGTCGCTGGGAACACTCAGCAGGTCAGGGAGCATCTATGGAGAAAGGAAAGTGAGTCAACGTTTTGGGTCCACGACCCCAGTTCTGACAAAGGGTCATGGACCGGAATCATTGACTCCTTCTCCATAGACGCTGCCTGACCTGCTGAGTGTTCCCAGTGACTTCTGTTTTTATTTTGCTTTATTGTGTAATTTTTTCCCTTTGAACCATGCATCATCGTGACCTGCTTCCAATACCAATTGTTACACTGAGCTGGCACAGTGGTGTGGTTCTGCAGTGATCCATCATCACATTCCACTTCCCCTTTTTAGCAAAGAGATGATTGAACTCTGCTTCATTATCTCCTTAGGATAACACAGATGAGATCAGCAACTCAGTGGCCTAAAGGAATTGGAACTGTGGAAGTGCACATTGATGCTACAATGTGCTGTCCCAGTTACCATTATTTCTAACTAAATTTTTGAAGGTAAAGTTTGGGCTTCATTCCTTTTAAGTGACTTCTTAGTTTAATAAATTATTTGGTTGTGGCTGCTGGGAAATTTAAAAATAATACACCCTGAGATACACTCTGTGACTGAAAACAAGTTTGTATGAGGGATCTGTTTTCTTACCATTTGAAATTTGCTGATTTGAGGAAGAACTTCTTCACTCAAAGGGTGGTGAATGTATGGAACTCACTACCCCAAAGGGCTGTTGACGCTCAGTCCTTGAACATATTCAAGACTGAGATAGATAGATTTCTTATTGCAAAAGGGATTAAGGGATAATGGGATAAGGCAGGTTAGGTTATTAGTTGGAGTGAGATTAGAAGATCAGTTATGATTGAATGGCGGGGCAGGCTCGAAGGGCCGAATGGTCTACTCCTTCTCCTACATGTATGTCATGTTATGAAATGTTACAGCTAAAAGCTACACACTCAAACGTAACGTGAACTCTTTCCAGAATGTGTTTTGTGATTCTCTCAGAATAGGTTTTATTGTATTCACTCAAAAGTAAGAGTATATCTGCATTAACTTGCAGTCTGTAAACATTCCATCCAATTTTTAGAAAGTACTTTATATAATGGAAGATACAATATCTCAGCTACTTTCCTTAAGTATTCAAGAGAATTAATTAATTGGTTAATAACAGTAAGCTAATATACTAAGAAAAAAATGACATCTGTATATAATGGCTACATGAAGTTAGTCCTGGTGGCATTTTTTTAACATAGATACGCAATAAATGTACTGGGATTTAGATAGGAAATACCATAACACAATTCCAAAAATTGGCAGAAAAACTATGATAAAAGGAGGTTGATTGATAGTGTGGTAGCTGGAAGAAAGCCAACTGCTTAGAGAAGTTGGCCCATTTAAAAGTACTGTGGGATAGGTTATTATTGCTTTTTTCCATTGTCCTGGAACTTGAATTGGTAAATACCATTTTTGAAATTCTGCCCACATGCCATAATTAGCTACTTTCACTTAAACTTGCCCCCTTGGCACTGAATTGAGCTCAGTGCCATTGTTTATAATTCCACACCAGGTTCTGAAAACCTTTGATGTGTTCCCATAGCTTTACTCTTATTTATGCAGATTATGCCTTTTTATTTTTCATTGAAGTTTGAAGGAAATTCCTTACATTAACAAATGGCTCAACATCAATAAATATCAAATATTTTTGAATTTGAATCAAATAGTCAATTAAAATATTTGGGTTTTGCTGTTGAGAGGTAGATGATGTAATATAACTCACTCCAAGTCACAGGTGTGTTTGTTAGTAGCTTCTTTATTTTGTCTTTGCAAACTCCCAATAAAGCACCACTTCACACATCCTTTGTCCCACTCCTTTTATACTTCCTCTCATTTGATCAATTGTCCAATTAATCCTAATTGAAATTTCAACAGATAGAACAAGTTTAAATAATTAGTGTAAATATATTGTTTGATATCCATCAAGTCAATTTTCTGGAAATGCATTTTAATCCTATGTTTTACAAAGCTCAATTAGCACCTGTGTTGAATTGGTTACAATGAATCTCCTATTGTTGATGAGCTATATTTAAAAAATGCTTTAATTAAGCCCAAAATATGAGGTATGCATCGTATTCTGCACTACGTAACAACAGAGGAAAGCACACACCATTTGGAGAGATACATATATATTCTGCAACAAATATATGGCACATTTTTCTGGTTTTCATGGGAGCTAGAGTCCTCCCACGCGGGACAGACAGACAGGGACTGTGATACAGAATATATTATAAAGTGTAGAGACTGTGTGTTTCGTGGGAGAAACTGAGAAAGACAGAGTGAGACAGACAGAAAGAGAGAGAGAGATTGAGAGAGAGAGACAGAGAGAGAGTCAGAAAGACAGATAGCGAGAGACAGAGAGAGAGAGACAGAGAAGGGGAGACTGGGAGAGACACTGAGAGACGGAGACTGAGAGAGAGAGACTAAGAGAGACTGAGAAAGAAACTGAAAGAGAGAGACAGAGAGCCTGAGAGAGAAAATATATTAAAGGAGTCCTTCCACTGAGTCCTTTCAAAAGGAGTCCTCCCAGCTGAGTATAATGTCTAAATGAAATGTCTGTATGTGTGTTTTTCTGTATCAATCTACATTCCATATTGGATCCTTTTTTGCAAGCGAACAGCTAACCTATATTAAATGAAGTAACTCATCATCTGGAGAAGGAGAACGTAAT